ATAAACAACAACAAAAACAGAAACAAATTCATAGATACAGAGAATATTTTGAGAGCTACTAGATGGGAGAGGGGTTGGAGGGTACAGTGAAAAAGGGCAAAGGGATTAAGAAGTACAAATGTATAGTTACAAATATACATGGAGATATAAAGTGTAGCATAAGGAAAATAGTCGAAATGTTGTAATAAATATGTAAGGAGGAAGAGGGGTATTAGATTTAGTGGGGTGATCACTTGAGCTCTAATCACTATGCTATACAACTGAAACTAATATATTATTGTATGCCAACTACAATTGAAAAAAAACTCATTGAATTGTACAATGTAAATATGAGCAACTAATTGTCTATCATATTTAATAAAGCTGGCAGGGGGAGAGGTGGGGGGGGAGAGGGAGGGGAGAGAATCACCAATAAAAGCACTACTTAAATCAAAAGCATCTGAGTGCATTATTTTGCATCCATAAATTTTCAAGTAACTGACTGTTTATTCTTATGTCAACCCCTTGAAGCTGATAAATAGGAAAATAATCTCCATACCTAACTGAGGAAAGGTGCAGAAATATTCAAGTGACCAGTCTAGAATTGCTGGATAAAATAGGGGATGCATAGTTAAATTTGAATTTCAGATAATATTTTAGTATAAGTACGACCCACACAGTAATTCTCCAAATAGAACATAGGATGTGCTTATGCTGTGTGTTCTCAAGGGGGTGCCGTTTTCAGGCTCAGCCTCCTTAAAGTAAAACCTGCCAGTCCAGATGTGAAAAACCAGCTGCCTTCTCCCCAGAAGGGTAGCACCCAGAGTCAAGACTCACCCTAGTTCTCTCAAGAGATTATTTCCCATCCTCGCAGTGTGTCAGGTTCTCAGCTCCTAAGTTTTGCTCTTTTGGACAGTTTTGGCCGAAGTAATGGAAGGCACGACATGGGGCAGGATGTTGCATCTGACCACTGCTTGTGCTCCCACCAACCACTAGCTGCCAGGGGATGGGCATGTTAGAGTAGGAAGGGACCATTCAGAGGGCGGGGAGAAGGAAGGCACATTTTTTTAGCGTATGTGTGTATGTGCATACGTATGTGTGCAAGTGTGTGTGTGTATTTCTGTGTATCTATGTGTATGTGCATTGCACACATGTGTGTGTGTGTGCATACTGTGGGAAAACATCAGACTTAACTGAGAATAAACCTAACACTGAGTTCATTTGCCTTTTCGGGAAACCCAGGATTGCAGGGGGAGTGCAATTTCCTATTGCCCTGAAATCTGGTATCTGAAGATTCCCAATATTTTGTTCTCTTCCAAACACACAGAAGAAAACCTCTTAAAAAGAAAGAAAGAAAAAAAATGCCTGATTGTTCCTCTAGCCATAAAAACCAAATCAAGATTAATGCCTTTGCTCAGAGATCTGACCCCAGAAGACGAGGAGTATGTGGGTGGGATGGCCTTGGTGGCCTTTGAGGTAGAAAAGTGGACCACTGTTCTTCCTGGTGTCATCCCAAGCCCACTTCATAGGGGGAGGAGATGGCCTGACAGCGCATCTGCATCATCTGGCCCCTACTTCCTCCCACAGCACTTCTGGGAGCTGCAAGCACAAGCTGGCCTGCAGTGATAATTTGGGGTTAGCCACCACTGACTCAGCCACTGATGTCGGGAGGGGAGTGACTGACCATGGCCCACTCAGTGGAGGGAAGAACAGGGGCCTGGTTTTCTTCAGTTTTCATCCAATGTGAGACTGATTAGTTGAATTCAGAAACTGTGTTCATCTAGTCCAATTCCTTTTTTTCTGAATAAGGGTACCAAGGCTGATGAAGTTTAACTTAACTGCTACCCATTGTCAGAGCCCAGAGGTCTCAGGTGCCTTATAATTATTTCTAAATTTTATGTTGTAATCACAAGCTTGAGAAAACTCTGTTTGAAACAGGAATTCTGCACAACCCCACTCTGGGCTTTTGGTTTACCTAATTCGTGTTTGAGAACCGATGTCCCACAGCCCTGCTTCCCAAGCTCTCACATCCATACAGATCATCTGAGGACCCTGTTACATGCAGATTCTGACTCTCTCAAGGTGGGTCAGCATCTGCCCCTCCAACAAGCTCACAGCTGCTGCCATTCCTGC